AGCTTGACGAATGACCGTAACGCATCAAAGGAGATAACCGCCCACATTTCCAAGGCCCGAGGAGCGTACGCAGAACTAAAACACCTTTGGCAAGGCCATGACATTTCGCTGAAGTTGAAAAGTTGCGTATATTGTGCGCCACCATGCGATCAGTTCTACTCTACGGTTGTGAATTTGCGGCTATAAGGCACCCGTCACGTAGGGGTTTTCAACAATCAACGTATATGTAGTCTGGTCCAGGTGGGATGGAGTGAGCGGTTTAGTAAGCTAGAAGTAAGTCGTCGGGTGTTTGGGATTGCATCGAACAAAAAGTCGATAGAGCATCGGATTCAGCTCAGTAGGCNCACGTTTTGCTTATGTCGCCTACCACACCGCGTTTTATTTTCAGAGGCCACTGTAGGCAGGAGAAGACAACGTGGAGATGAGGCATGAAGAAATGCATTGGGCGACTAGGTAGAGTAGGTGTCTCTCGTCTTCCGGGTTGGGGTCCAAAAGACTCCGTAACTGAATGGTTGTAGACACTGAAGGTCATGACAGCAAACCGACGGCAGTGAAGATCTTACTTTAACTTCTTATCAGACCAGAATGCTTGAAGTGTTGGACGGATTACTGTGTGTGTTGACCATAGAGCTTCGCTTTCTTTTCCCGTCCCCACATATAGGCCCAATCCCTGTCCTCATATATTATCACTTACCTTGTATGCATTATGGGTTTGCCAGCGACGAGTGAGGTTCGCTTCACTGTATTACGCTGTACAAAGATGATGATGATGAATTGGCACAACTGCCGGAAAAATATAATACCCTTATTTCAGCGGATTGCAGTGGTAAACTGGTTTAATTCGCTGCCATGAGCGTGCATTGGGTCGTAAGATTTGAGGTTTCAAAACCTTCGCACCCATTGGACTTTGGTTGTAATGAGTTTAGGTCTCGTCTATTTCGAAACCGCTGCTATCCTAGTGGCGCGATTGTTTTGCATTCCGCCTGTTGAAATCCAGTGCTGTCTCATGATTGCCTATTTGGATGAAAGAGTAAATGGAAGAATAGAATTTACAAGTCTGGTAAAAATAATTTTATGGGGGTCTTGCAGTAAACAAAGTTTTAAATGTTTTCTTTTAGCGGTCAGCATGCCTCTGGATAAGCGAATAAGTAATCCACAGGATGTACGCACTTGGACTGTATCGAAGGCTTATCGTGACGTGATGGATTTGATCCAAACGGTTAGCAAACATGTTACGGGTAAACCGATTAAACCAGACATCCCCGTTTCTCCTGTGAGTACTTGCTAATCTCTTTTTGATAAACGGTATTAGGCTGTTTCTTCTGTTTGTGAACTACTCCGTGAATTAAACAAAAAGATTGATGACTTTCCGGCCGAAGAACAACCACAAAGATTTGGAAATAAATCGTATCGGTTGTGGTTTCAGTGGATGAGTGAGAATGCGATGGAACTTTGTCGTTCAACGCTGTTTGAGAAGTGTAGTGTTACGACATCCGTTGTAGAGAATGGTGAGTCCTTGTTCTGTTTTCAGTTTTAGTTTATGCAGCAACTAACCACTCTCATGTGGTGATTTTAGTTGTTTCTTTTTTGTTACCGCTTTGGTCAATCAATGTTGAAGGAGTAAACGAAAGAATTCGAAGTAGTGGGTGGTAGTGGTGCAGTGGTTTGGTTACTGTCACTGGCGTGCTTTGGACCTTACGATCCAAATTTTGAGCCCCGTTAACGCCACCCAACATTATTGGTAAGCAGTTTTGCTGTCGTCCGGTTCAGTACCACGCCTAACTTAGCGGGACTTTATATAGTTCGCCACTCCAAGTCCCGGGGTTCAGGCTATTAGTTTTCATCGCTGAACAGCAAGTCCTCATGACAATATGGTGCTGTCTCGTCCATGTTCCGCCTGTCGCATTGTGTGCATAATACTAAGTACCGATCTCGAAAAGCGGGCCAAAAATCAGCACACCGGCGGCTAACACACTGAAGAGAAACCCGAAGGCCTCG